GGAATGTAGTCTACATAATACCTGCCCAAAGAACATATGAGGATGTTTTATAAGAAATATCAATGTAAGAACCAAGAATGAAGAAGAGTCTTTCTCTCCCTACCCTAATACACATATGACCCACATATGTCTATTCCTCCCTCTTGACAGCTGGAATTACAGCAGGTTATGAACAAATATGTTATAGACTTCTGCTTAAAATACCTAAACTTTCCAAAGACCAAAATGGATGAATGTATGACTGCTACAATGTCCTTGAAGTAAATATTATTTACTGCATCACAGTCCAGATTGGAGTCTTAAGTTCGTGCCCTTGGTTTGGTATGTGAAATTTTGACATCTGACAATAAGGAACCCTGTTCTATGGAAGCTCTCTCAAAAAGATATCTTATGAGCTAGCAGTTCACTGGCACAATGATTCTTTACACTTTAGAAGCCCTTTACTCTGCAAGTTCTTCAAATGCTTTAAATACATACACCAAGATCTCTAGACAATAGCAATAGTAAAACCAAAAAGATTGTGAGCAATGCAGCTGTTCTCCAAAGTTTTATCTGTCTCCTTTTATTTAAAACCAGCCTTATTTTCCTATTTTGGGGGATATGGGGGAAGTTCCATGAGATACATTGGCAAAAATGTTTTGCCTATATTAATGGAAGCAGGTAGAACATATCTATTCAAGATAGTATGATTCTTGTTAAAGAGTTTGGGACCAAAATTATTAAAATCATTCCTTATGCCTCATCTGACTTTAATAGAAGCATATATCAGCACCACTCACTTTGATAAAGAGCTTTTCCTATGAGCTTAAACACAAGAATATTGCCAATGATCTGAAAGGAACGCTATAGATTTTATCTCACCTTATTTCTTTAATGGTACTGCCTAAATATTTACTCTTCCTATCATAATAAAATAATCTCCTTCTACCCTTCAAGTAACACTGTGGACATGAATCACAGACATTTATTACATGGAATGCAGATATTTGACTTGCCTTTCTGCTGCAGTGTCTCCATCTTAGTTCCTTAGAGAACAAATGCTATGTCAGGTTTCATAATTATAACTTGTGATGAAAACAATGCATCTGAGAGTGAAAAGATATTGAGAAATTCAAAACACCCATGCCATGCCTTTTTTTGCTGTACAGAACACCCTTACAGTGAGTAGAGAAGATGCTTTTGGTAAAGCTGGAAGGAAGCAGAATAACTCCATTTAATATTAAGTTTGTTACTTGGAAGTATGATTAAGGATATCTGCCAGTGATTTGGCCCTATAAACTACAAAACTGTTACTGGTGACCGAATGCCATCTGCTTTCTTTCACCACCAAAACTAAAACAGATGAAAATGTTAACCTTAAAAATGCATAAAGTCAAAAAAATATTTGTGGAGAGGAGGGGTTGAGAAATATTGGGAAATAAATGTATTTTCTAAAAGCAGACTGACCCAGTCATATTTAAAGAGACTTATGACAGTGTGTATCTATTCATAGCAACACACTTAAATGGATATATGCACATTTTATCATCTAGATTAAATGATCATGAATCCAGACCTTTAAAATATGAAATTATGTACTTTGATACACAATAATTTCATTTTATTTATATAATATGCAATGTAAAAATGTATAGTCTTAACATATTTTCTCAAATCACATTTGCTTTGCATCCCCAAGTTTGAAACATGAAACAGTTGGAAGCACAATTCATATATCTATAAACCAAAGAGGGGTACAGTTTTAAATAATTATGTCAAGAAATGACAACTCTACTCTTTGTAGAAGCACAGATTAATAATTACAAAGCTGGGACACAATTAAGCAATTTTGACTGTCGTATTCTTGAGCTGTCTTTCTGATGTGAAATGCTGTCATGCCCAGAAACACACTTCACACTGGACAGGCATCTTCCACTTTGAGCTACACTTATGCCAGTGAAATGAGGTCATGGTCTGGTCATTAAACAAGGCTTCCTCATCTGGCTCAATGCCTCTTATCCAGACAGACTTCCCCAGTCTTCATTAAAAGCAGGCATGGTACAATGTTCAATATTTTGACAAAAGAAAACATAAACATAACAGAATAATGAAGTTTAGCTCACCTACACAGTAAGAAGGAATACTGCATTGTAACATTAAACTGTTTTTTAATAAATGATTGTATCTTTCCATAAGACAGTCATATCACAAACAGATGCATTTCCAACAAAGGGTGAAATGAAGCAAAGCACAAGAAAGTGTAGTGTTCTGTTAAATAAAATAGGGAATAATGAAAGTAAAAAAAAATTTATACAAAATAAAATATTTATGACTTAGTGATGACTGGTGATTGCTAGATACTTTCGCATTTGAGTAAACACAAGCTAGTCAGATGGAAATTTCTTGCTTTTATTCTCATTTTGTGTATTTTTTTCTTGGTGGGGTATTTTGCTCTCCCAAGCATTTCATGTCAAGACTAAAATGAAAACAACTCCCCACATCACAGCCTCTTTAGATCATCAGTCTGCCTTTTATGCTGAATAAGCCACACCATCTCCTGCTTATTATAATGGGGGGGGGGGAGGAGGGGGGAAAGCCACCACATAAGTTATAATTTTTTGTTGGTTTGTTATTTTTAGGGGTTTTTTCCTGAAAAAGCAGGTCTGAAAGGCCGACTGTTGTAACTGAATCTGGCAGAATACTTTGATGCGGCATCCACCAACATAAATACTAATCACTGAATCTCCATTCCTGGTAAGCATAGGCTGACACCCTGCCTGCTACCTTAGGTGAAAGGAAAAAGAACCCCACAATATTGGGAAGTTCATTATCATCAAGGTCTTATATATCACTATGTCAACTTATTGAGGAGTTTTTCTGATGAGCAATACTGGATATGCTGCAATCTTCTTCTGAGTTTGGATCAAGGTGTAATCTCTAAGTAGTTTCAGAAAGCTTAAAATATATTACCAGTACCTGCCTGTTAAATCTGGCTGAAAATGGTCAAAAATATTGACAGCTATGTGGGAGTGGAACTGATGAACAGAGAACACAAGATCCAGGAAATGTGAAGGCTAGAGAATAAAAACCCATTATGTATGCAATGTATAACACATGACAGAACTCAAAAGTAGAGTTATTGTGCACATCATCTTTGTGATTTAGGGAGGAATGATGCTTGCTGTGGTCTTCAAGCAGAGCTGTCAATAGCTGTACACATACTTAGCTGCATTTCAAAGCATATACACAGAGAAAATTCTATGAGTCTTCTCAGACATAGAAAGAGTTTGCATGCATGTGTACTATAAGCATGAATATCCTAAGAAATAAGCACAAATTCTAAACAATTTGAAGCGCTTTACAATACCTGCATCAAATTTAATATTTATTTTAAATTAGCCACTTCTGTGCTATGTATATAATACTGTATGATGAGGGTAATTTCTTAGCACCTTAAGAAGCATTAATTCATGCCATAAAAATAATTTACAATGATTTTACCATCAGTAATTTGTACTGAACCATTTATAAAGAAGAAAAAAATACTCTTTAGTATGACAATAACAACAGTAAATTGGAGCCTTCTGCAAATTTTCTAAAATAAATGTGTGGTTTATCATAAGAGTTAGTGGGTAAATAATTCAGAACTATACAAAAGGTTAAATTGTAGATACAAAAGTTAAAGATGTTATCCCTAAATTTGTTAAGTAATTTACCCTTAGCTATTGACTTAAAAAGAGGTTTAATCCAGAAAAGTAACTTCAAATTTGAGAGACACTTTTTTCCTCTTATACTATTAAGTTGGATGCAATTCACGGAGTAGACTCTTAAATGAAAGATCTAACTGTTAGAAAAAAATTTTAAAAACTTCACCAGATCCAAAATCTGATTAGATAAAAAGAATTATAAAAGATGACATACATATGCTATACCTAACACAATTCAGCTGTTGCATTTGGCCAGACTCAAAGATGGTTTGCTGTGAATAGGAAATCTACCACAGCTTAAAAATAACTTACTCCATTCATTACATATATGAAGCTGAAATAACTAAAGGCAGTGGTAAACAATATATCAAAGCAATGTTTGTATCAGAACTGTTAACATTTTAGTATTTATAAATTAATCAGTCTGAACTAATTTGCAATGCACTGGAATTGTACTCATGATAATGCATTTATCCAGCAACACTGTTATGGTACCAAACAGTGCATTTCCATAACCACTGCATTATTATTCAGCATTATTGGAAATCTGCAATAAATTATTGATGGAATACTTCAGAGAAAAAGCAGCACACAGAAAGCAAGTAGACTGAAAACTTGAGCAGAGTTTCAAGAAAGATCTGCAGTACTAAAGCACTCTGAGCACACCACAGATTGCTGTTATCAAGTACTGATCAACAATGGAAAAAGAAGGCAAAGGGGAGAATTCACATTCTCATTCCAATTGCTTCAGCAGGATGCCCAGAGTTGATGGAAGTTGTATTAAATGCTCAGATTACTGAAACTGTCTCACTGATGCTGTCAATGTTTATTAGCAGGACACCACACTAAGTAATATCATACAAAATTAGAATCAACTGGTTCATAAAAGCCAGTAAACACCATAGGTGTGAGCTCTGCAACAGACATTTGTTTAACATACAAGGCAGGGGACAACTTGTCAGAAAAAATTGCACTCTTTCACAAAAGTATATCACACAGTTGTTACATTTCCTTGGACAGTGTAAAAATATTCTTTTAAGCTCAGTGACACATATTAGTTATTTTGCTATGTGAAACATAGGTTGAAACCAGAAATTTGGTAATGTGGCCACAGCCCATTAGACAGCTACCTGTAAATTTCTACATTAAAACACAGAAAAATTACTGAGGCTTTTGTCCCCCATCTGACCACATTTATCAGTTATTTGAAAGGCTTCACCTCTTTTTTTACTGTAGCAGAAGATGCAGCCAGGCTCTTGGAGTTATTTAAAAATAGTGTGAATTAATCATATTATTGTTCCCACTTTCTCCTACCTTTGCATCCTTGGGCTTAACCACTTTCATGAAGGCACCTCTTATCAAGGCTTCCTCTCTCTCTCTCCTGGTTACTTTCCGAGTATCAAGAAATTTCAGGTTTGTCAATTTGTGCAGGACAAAATATCTGACAGATATCAAAATACAAACAGTTAAAATCCAGTAATGCACAAAGACATACTCACAGACTCAATGACTAAAAAAATGACAGCAAAAAATAACAAGAGCCTTTGTTTCCTCCCTGTATTCGTCTTTTTCATGCAATGTAGCTTATGTACAAAGTTATAATACTTACTTTATTCTCTCAAATGAAGCCAAATACTGGTGGATCAAATGCAATAATCAGCATGGACGTGCATGTTCTCTCTTTATGTTAGTGAGGTATAAAACATACCAAGGAACAGAGTAACTTGGAAATGGTTTTGCATTGCCTGTTTGGGAAAAGGAATTTTGAGTGATACCAAAGATTCCAACCCACATTGAAGGAGGAAATCAATCTGAGATACGGGAAATTGCCAGCCAACTTCTCTTCAAGAATTCTTACAATTTGCCAACATGATTTTGGATTTTTTATTTTATTTTCCTAAAACCACAATGATCAGCATTTGGAAGGAGAATTCCAATTTGGTTCCGCCAGAGAGACAAGGTGACCTTACAGAATACAGATTCCAGCTCAGGATTAAGTGCAGAAGCACACAGTGAGAGACTATTTATGGGAAATATATTTTAAGAATTCCAAGTTTTTATTAGGATTCATCAGTATTATATTCTATTTATCATATCTACTAGAAGGATAGCAGCTTTCTAGCCTCAGAAAAATACTCCTGGCTTCTCACATGTGAAGGGAGAGAACATGGCAGAGCAAAACCAAAGCAAGGCACAACCATGGCAAATCCAAATATCTAAACATCTCAAGTACACATCATTTGCATTTAGTCAACCAAATGTGAAGCAGACACTGGAAAGTGAGGGCAATATCAGACTTTTCCTGGTAGGGGGTAGAAAGGTGATGATAATGTCCCCCAGCCTAGCTGCTTTGCATAAACACCAAGTCATTGAGAGAGTTCCTCATCATACCGATCCTCTCTGGCACTGGGAGGAAGAAATAAAGAAATAGAAAACTCTGTATAATATTTTGAAAAAAAACCCAACAAAACAACACAGAAAAAAAATGTTTCAAAAGGTAAAAGTTTATCTTATGATACTGTTGTCAAAATCAGATAAACATGTGAAAATTACTGTAATGCTCCCCCTTCTAAAACCAAGCAAAATTTAATGGTGCAAATAAAGCTTTCCATAAAATATACCATTCCTCTGAAGCAACACCTTCATAAATTGTTAACAACTTAACTGACAATACTCAATTCTGAAATGCTCAGACAATTTAAATGTGAATCCTCAGTCTATGGCTCTCAATTATATCGGTAGAAGAAAAAGAGTCACTTCACAAAACAGAACATCTCCTAAGACCATTTTTTTTAAGCAACAGCTACAGACCTTTGAGACAGACATATTCTCAGACTCATTCCAGCTTTCCTGGCTGCCCTTCCAGTCCTCCCTGGCATTTTGCTGGCCCTTATCTTTCACTGGAGGAGAAGCTATCCATCTTGCATTACTGGCAGAAAAGCTCTGATGACAACAGATTCTTTCAAATGAAGACATGTACAGAAGGAAACAATATGTCAAGAGTGAAGAAGAGTGAAGCTAAAAATGAATAAAGACACCCACTAAGTGTAGGGTGAGAAAAGATGAATATTCAGGTGAAGAAAACATCGGTATTAGAAAATCAGCAAATGTTTAATGATGGAATGAAATATGCCATTGAAAAGCAGGCTGTAACAAAAATGACAACAGAATAAGACAGCACTGTCATCTATGCTGACTTTGGATCACAGCCCTAATGTCAGTCTCTCAATCATCTCAAAAGAGCTTAAAATTATAATAGCATTCCTTGATACAAATGTATTTTTGTATTTTTAAGCCATCCTGACTGCATTTCAAAAAACAGAATTAGCACTAGTACTTGTCAATTCCAGAAACAAAACCAAAAAACCCTACCCACACAAATTAAACAGCAAACTACTCCACAAGTTTGGGGTTGGTTCTGTTTTTCAAACTCCTACTCCTTAAGCAGAGCAAATACTAAAAAGTAGGTACCATAAATATTATCCCACTGGTAGAAGGAAGGCATATATGCAACTGATTATTTTAAAAGATGATTCAAAATGCAATCTCATTTATTAATATTCTTTTTACTAAATGTGGGATAAAAGATATCTATGCTATTTGAAAATAATGCAATACATTAATATTAAATGGCTGAAGAAAAATAGCAAGCTTCCTGGATATATTTTAGCTAAAAATATGAAGATACACCTTCAGTCTAAATGTAACACAAGTTTGCCATAAAAAATACAGGAAAGGATTACCAAAGCCTGGGAATGAACACTCTACAATATCAATTCAACCCTTGTAAATTTAATCCAGGGTTATTTGTTGCACAAAATCTCTTTACTGTGATGTATGACTTAGTTACTAAGGTTATCACAGCAGTATCCTAAAGTTGCATAGTACATAAAACATTTCGGTTAACAATGCAGGGAGGTTAACTCCCACAGATAACCTACTATCAGAGGGTTAGACCAGATGACATGCCTCTGTCAGCTTTCAGGAGCTATTGATGGTTCAATCAGTTTGTTTTGAAGGTAAAGTACAACAAAAGGGCACTAAACTTATTCAAACTGTCAACAGGGACTATGGAATGTTGCTTGCAGGTAAGTAATTTTGGGTGTTTTAAGACTATTATCAAACACCAATGGCTGCAGAAAAAGACAGCTACTAATAACACAGAACACAGCCATCATAAAATACTTTATGGCAGGCACTGGGACCCATAAATTGCATGACACATTGCACCTGTTTCAGACTTGTAAAATCACTAGTTAAAAGCATACTGGTTAATGAAGAAAGATCCATCTAGATTCCACATTTTGTTTAGAAAGGTTTATTTAGATTTGTAGTTGGGGGGCAGGGTCTCCCTATTCCCCCTCCCCCTTTCTTTTTCTTCATAATTTTAAAACTTAGCCCTGCTCCATGTGTTCTGAAACTGCTGTTACTGGCTTTTAACACCTTAGTTGTGGTGTGAAAAAAGGTTATTATCTTCAGTGATGAGGATAAAGGTGAGATTTAAAGAGAGAACTGTAAAAATTAGACATACCAGGAAGGTGCTTACAGAGCTACTTATCGTTGCTTGCAAAGTGATCATCTAATTCACAATGGATTAAATAAATTATTTATTTAAGTAATGTTGTACCTTCTTTTGTTCAGAACCATCTCCCTCACCTTGACTCTTGGCATGGATGCCATGAGTCTCATGAAAATAAGCTCATAACAGGTATTTATCATACCAACAGGATCACCCAGATATGGAAAAAGACCACAGAATATAAAATGTCATGTTATTTCCATCTTAGTTAAGTAAAAATTACAATAAAGAAAACTAATTTATTTACCAATTTTGTATGGACTGCATGCAATAAGCATCACTTTAAGACTCTTCATGCAGACTTGCCAGGATATTGGAAAATAGGCACATTTGCAAACTTTTCCACTGAACCTTTAGTGAAAGACTGTTGTGAGAACTAGGTTCTGTGTAGTATTCCAGTTTGTACTATAATTAACAAAAACTGGAACAATTTTTAAGTTGAAAATAAAAAAAATATCTGCTGTGAAAAATTGAGAATTATTTGCCCACAAGAATGCAGAAGTATACAGCTCTACCTGTAGCATACCTGCAACATGCTCTTTGTTTTGGAAAGTGCTTACTTTCATTTTTCTATTTCCTGTGCTATTATATTTCCTTTCCTTAACAATCACAGAACATAAATAACATGCCTACTTCAAACTTTGAAGGACTGATTATGCTCTCAGTTACATTACTGTAAACTAGAAAAAATAAGTAATCTGAAGTAGGCTAAGTTAGATCAACATTTAAATGGGGAAAGACTAAAAAAAAAGAAATCAGAATAATTGAAACATATTTATAACAGTGAACTAGTGTCATAAACACTACATTCTGTGATTGTTTCTTCTGCATCCCCAAAAAATTTGCCCTTCTACCCCAAACAGCGTATAGCTGGCTACAGAATTTCCTCTCTAACAAAAACATTTGTTAAATACACAGATAAATAAGACAAGTCATAAACTTAAACCAGCATCTTCCAGAAGAGAGGGCAGGATGTTGGCATGAGGTATGTTAGAGGATCACAAGACCCTGAGCAGCCTTGGCACTGTTAGATGATGACCATGTAATTCTGAGGGGCTTGCAAGTCATGCAGAAATCCACATCACCTCCTAATGTTTTAACACACTCTGCTCTTCTTCAGTGTAGCAAACAACTCTATGAATTAGAAAAATCTTTCTCTAGATGTGTAACAGTAATTATAGTTTCGCCTTGATTTACTGTGTTAGTACAGACAAATTGGGTATTATGGATTTCAATTTATTTGGCTGAAAAAATGGTAATTGTTCTTGCTCATGAGCCCTTCCAGTGGCTAGTCTCAGATGGACCTTGTGTGGCCATTTGATGTGTTTCAAACACACTTTTCCTTCCAGCTACTGGTGAGATGACAAGGCTTCACTCAAACACTGAAGTAGAACAGGTTCATAGATTATACAGATGTAAGGGATTATCCTAATCATCTAATTAAGTTCATAAAGAACATATACAGAATTACCAGAGACTTCAATCCCTCCTGCTTAAAGAGAACCTCAACAGTAAGTTCACTGGTACTCATCATTATATATTAGCATTATTTTCATTAATGAGTGAGGACTTCTAGTATGCTACTGCTTATTGAACATATATCTGTATATCACCATGCAAATACAAGACTATTTAAAATAAAAAAATCAAATTCTGTAGCAATTAAAAAAATAAATAAAACAAATGCATAATAATACAAAAGAAAGCTGCAAGAACACTGAAAATGCTAGAAGACCCATCATTTCTAACAATTAAAACTGTAGGATAGGAATATCTGATCTAGCTTGAAAAGTTAATCCATAGAAAATGCATGCACTTCCTTTCTTGCTGTTATATCTTAAGAGGACTTCATAAGGTTATCATCATTTGCTCCCCCAGCCAAAGATAGCATATCTAGTACATGTACTTTTAAGCTAATTTAAAATAAACTCCGGCATTTGTTTCCACTTGCCCTTGTTTCCATGTCAACAGCATTTAATGAATGCATCATTCCAGGAAATGTCAATAAGGAGCAAAGAAGAATGAACAAGCACTGAAAACTTCACACATGGCATGAATTCTTCACAATCATATCGCTTTAATGAAAACACGTGAGGTCACCTGCAGAATTCACAAATGCTTTGTAATACATTGTGACCCAGATGATTTTGCACAGTTCAGTAACACCACGTTTGAAGTTTTTTCTGCAAACAATACACCCACAGGACTGACCAACTGTGAGTACAACAGAAGCAACCAGCAATTACTGTGTTGACTTCTGCTACTTTGATCTCTGGGTCATGACCTTTGTTTTCCCCTCAATCTTCAAAGCAGAGATTGGAGACTAGGTTATTTTAGATGACACTGTTTTGCAAGCTATTTTTCTGTGTTTCTTGCTTCCTATTAGAGCCAAGAGCTTTTAAATTTTCCTATAACTATTACATATTAGATATTCTGCTTTCCCTTGCTCTCACCAAAAAAATAAACCTTTATAAAATATTAACACCCAAATACACAAAGTTTCAAAAATAAGATAAAGAGAACTTAAATATTATTTTTTAATAGTAAGAAACTAAAGCCAGTTTAACAATGATGGAGAAAAACCCTGAGTCTTTAAAATTAACCAAACAAGTTTGCTTATAAAAATATCACAGAAGGGAATTTTCCATTTTCTTTTTCTGTCCAATCAAAAATTCCAATAACCCAGAGATCTTTTCATCAATTTGTTCTTCTACACATTTGAAATGTAAGAAGGAATAATAGGGATGGCAAAAAAAAAAAAAACTTTTCTTCTTCCCTAAAAAAAATTTCATTCAAAAGTTGCTGTGGTTCTTAGACAAAAAATAACTACTTTGAGAACAAAAACACAATAATGTTTCAATATAAAATTTAGTTTTAAGGTAAGACTAGAAAAGAGCTCTAGTAAAGAAATGATAGAAATGGTATACCAATGGATCACCTTAAGAATCAGATCATAATTTCTTGATGAAAATATACTTTTGTATATTTTCCAAGTATTTTTGACAAAACCTAATTATTTTTAAAGTAAATAATATTACTTTCAACCTCTGTTTTTATGGTCATTGTGAATTACTGGATCTTGAATTATTTTTAAAATTATTTTCCATATTTTTTAACATTAAGATTTGGGGGGGGGGTGTTAACAAATCTTTTCAGTTTGTTGGGATTAGGAGATTAAGTAAAGCTTTGATTTCTTGCACCTTTCTCTTTCTAGTTGAGAAATTAAATAGCTTGAACTCTAATTGAACTCAGTAGGAACAAAATTAAAGCTCAAGAAAAATGAAGCTCTGGTTCCAATGGTCACTGCAAAAATTTACAAAAAGTAGCCAGTTGAAGTTATGGAGAAGCACAATGTTTGCATAATTCAACTTCACATAAATGTAATCTTTTGATGGTTTCTGATAAATTTCTAAAAAAATAATCTTAGGGGAAAAAAGTTATTTCAAACCATTAGAAAATGCTGAAACTGGAAGACTAAAGTTGTGTTCAAGATGCTTCAGAATGCATATTGAAAAACCTGAATTAGCTACTCAGAGTAAAATTAGAAGAGTACTTCTAATCAGTTTCACCAAGTAGGTGATGCATATTCCCCTAAAGATAGGCAGATAGATCAATGGATTGATCCATGGGTTTGGGTTTTGAATATAATGCTGTCTAGCAAATACATTTCATATAATGCAACAAATAATAATGGAAAAGGATCAGGAAGCTTTCATTATAGCAGCAGAACCATAACTAATTAGAAGCCCATTCTTCTTTCTTAAAAGTACTTCAATCAACCTAGTTCATATGGAAAAAAAACACCCAGGATTTTGAAAAATTGAGAGGAAAGAAAATGGAAGCAATGTTGCAGTTTCCAGAAAATATATAAATGGAATCCCTTCATACTTTGACACAGTGGTTTACCACGATGTGACCTAAAACTACCTTGACCTCTCAGAAATCAACATTTTTGCATTGAAATGAAACAAGGGACATGCTTGTTTTGATGTATGGCTCTATGACATATTATAAATATTACATCACATAACCACAGAGGATGTCAATCAATAAGGATTTTCTTCCAGAGAGCACTAAATGAACCATGGGTTCTTGCCTCTGAATGGCTCCTTTAACATACTGCTTTTGCTTAAATGATTAATAGGAGACATATTGTCAGAAAACATACTTAAAGTGAAAAACAGTAAACTGTAAAAATCATTCCTTTATTAAGCAATTTTCTAGAGCACATGTCACATAAATTTACATAGAGATAGCACTATTATCGTCTTGCAAGCTTGAGGATAGTAGGCATACCTTCCACTTAATATGAAAGCAATAGGAAAATATTTTATTAGACTTAGGCTGCTCTACTACATGAAAATCAAAATGCTAAGCTAGATTCAAATGTAGAACTCATTAAAAGGTGAACGTGTAACAATCTAGAAATCCTTCTCAAAAAATTTGAAACAAACTAAAAAGTATATGTGCACATCTGGAACAGTTGTGCTGCTTTTTAACCTTCACTATTTCTGAATGCAATGAATTCAAGCCCATAAATTCCCCATAAACCTGCTTTTAGTCTCCTCAACTTTGTATTGTTTTATCCTAATTCCTAGAGCACAGCTTGGATTACCGAAGCTATGACCAGATTTTATCATATAACTCTGAATATTGTGGATGATCCTAATAAAAAGCAAGCTCAGGCTCTGCAAGGCAAGGTGACCAGCACTGCTTGGCTCTGACTTGCCTCCAAATGCCCTTGGGATCCAATGTGAAAAGTGCCAGCACACAAGGACTGAAATAATGTCTCAGGTGAGAGCAAGGAAAAATACATCTAATGTCTTCTTTTTTCCTGCATAATCAATGTCTCACCTGTCTTAAGATTATAGCTCTGAAAATTACATCACTTAACAGACAATCCATAAGTTATGGATCTATACTGATAACCATCATCAGTTACAACTATTTCTGCCTTTTTTTCAAAATAATCCTTACAACTTTTAGCAACATTTCAGTTGCGAGTATTTCATCAAGCCTTCATATTAAATTTCAGATGACCTCTTGTGTAATCTAGTTCATTGACATTACATTATAAAGATAGTTTGGGTTTTATTAATAGAATGTAACTGCTCTGAGTGAAGTAGCACAATATAGGAGGAGTTATTTATTCTGTGTTTATAATGCCTTGATAACTACAGAAGAAGCAACTTAGCCCCATATCAAACACAAGCAGAAGACAAGGCAACTGGCTATCTCAGTGGAGTGATTTTTTTTTTTATTTATTTATTGCCTGTTACCCTTAGTATATGCAAAACTTGCCTTATCTTGGCCTTAAAGAAGGAAATGCCTTGTAGGGGTATATGACTACTTACATTCAGGAAATCCTGTGCACACCTGCTCGACTCAGACATGTGCTATACAGCACTGAAATGTTTCTTGAAACAGGGCTCCTGAGCATGATCTGACTGAAATGAGGGCTACTCAAATTCCCAGGTGTTTCATGGCAGAATGTTACAATGCTTTCAGAATAGAGAAGATGTTTGTTTGAGACTGGGTTGATTTTAGTTCAGTATTTTTCCAGTAGTGAAACAAAACTTTCATGCCTTATTACATCTACAAATGAAAACACTAACCTGTATCTCTGGTAGTCATCTTCATCCTTTTCTTTGCAGACCAGTTCATTTGGGCAAGCAATGTTTCCAAGCAAACTGAGATACTGTAGTGAGGGCACAACTTCAGCCAAATGGTCCAAAAGGCTTTCTAATTCTGTTATGTGTCAAAGGTAGTGGGTTAAGGCTTCAATGACATTAATGAAAAAAGCATTTGGAGTTGCATCACTGCTGATTTAAACATACATTTCAATAACTGACAATCAAATTTAGTATGGCATTCAAGAAAATGTCACATTAATTGTTCCAAGGGCAAACAGGGATAAACTTCAGTCAGTTTTTTGGCATGGAATGAAAGAATTGGGCTGTTTTGTCATTCTTTTCTCCTCCTTTCTTTCCTAGGTGGTTCACTACCAAACATTAAAACTTTGACAAAATGATGGATGCTGTGTGGTAAAATGGCTAGCAATTGCTGGAGCCATGAAACTTTTCCAGCATGGAAACAAACAGTTAGTTTCACAGCACATTCATCACTAATATATTCAGTCCACTGGAAAATGAGTTTAAAAAAAAAAGAAAAAGAAAAAGAAAAAAGTCAAACCACAACAACCCAGGTTCACTCCCAGCATATAAACGCTTTGAGTGTCACAGCAACACATTTGTAACTACTCAATTAGGATATGCCAATTAATGCTTTACTAAGTGTAACTTAAAGGTTTCAGTGTTACAAATACTTTATATATGAACTTTTAAAGGCTAGTAAAGCATAAAATTTTTCATTAAAAGAGCCTTCTATTTTGATGTTCATGAGGCTTTTTAACTGTATTTCTCGGAACATAAATAAGAAGGGTACCTTCTTATTGTAAACCTGAATAAAACAAACAAGCAAACAAAGGTTAAACTGACTTTAACCACTGCAGTACTGGAAAATACATCTTAGAATTAAGCCTAAAAACAATATTCAATCATTTGCACCTCAATTTGCTAATTGATCAAATAATTATTTTGTTGTTATGGCCTAGTATGGCAATCTCTAAAAACTGAAACATACATTCTAATTTACTTCAATTTACATACAAAGATATTAGCATGAGCCTCAAAAAATATGACGCGTGTGTGTGCATGTGAAAAGCTTCCAATATTTAAAATCAACTGACTAAAACAACAGTAATAAATATTCAAGACCATTAAAGGATATTTAATTACTCTGTTTTTATTCTCCCCTGCTCTTAGAGACAAACTATTGTTTTAAATCCTCAGTTCACTTTTGTTGCTATTATTTATACTTGATTTATGTGTTTCTCTTATCTTTGTTATTTTTAGCTGATGGAATTTACTTTATTTCTTCACCCCAATATCTTAAGGGCAACAGAAGCAATACAGAATGGAGAAAACAGCTTCATTGTTAAAAATGTGGTCTTCCTTTTGTAAGCCTGAAATTTTAGTTTATTTTCAAACACATATGAAGATCATGCCAACAATTATTAATTCCAATATACTAAAATCAATGTATCTACACTCATAGTTAGTGTTCTGCCCCATAATATCTAAGGAATTATACTTAAATATTTTGCATGACTGAGGAAAATGAGGGTTTGAAATAAGATCGATAAATTCATTGAAAAGATAGGAATGCTAACTTTTAATTTGGCAAAGCCACATTACACACTGCTTTATACCAGTAATTAATCTACCAAACCCCAAGGAAAAAAATTATCTTTTTGTAGCACCATATGATTTGTTAGCTAGGATGAATTACCAATCCAAATTTGTTGCTCATTTTCATACCTGGACCTTAAGTTCACACATAAACTTTTTCATGGCTCTTTCAGGAAGTATGTGACTGTGATGGGAAACTCACAAACTGTTTTTCCACACATGTTCAAGTGTGGAAAAGGCTTTTTAAAAGTTTCCAAAGGCTGTTAGAGAAGTGCTTGAACCTGGCACCCTCCCTCAGCCAGGAGCAACACTTAATTTCTCTCAGGATTGCTTAGGTCGCAAAAAGGCTCCCTGAGCGAAATAGTTTATTATTACAAAAGACAGCAATTGCCATAACAGCAATCACACACAGGAGGTTAGCTATTGCAAGATTTTGATTGTATCTGGTAATTTCCATTCAAAAAGAGAAGAAAAAAACCATAAAAATAACACCCCAACAACAAAAAAAACATAACAAGTCATTAATTTTTGCTTATTTTATGAAGTAAACATGCAGGACTTTTGCTTCCCAGTTCAGCAGAACTATTTCTTGTGTGAAAGCTGTTCTCCCCAGAAGTTTCCTGAATGTGGAGCATGACACGTAATCAAAATCCCATCTGAACATGCAGCCTTCAAAGTAAATAGTAAAATGTATTTAGAAATGTTATTAGAAAAGTGTCAGCTTAGATGTGCAAAAAGTGTAAGACTACACCTCAAAAGCCTATGGAAAGCAAAAGAGAAAGACATATATTCACCCAAAATTTTAGGTAAATAACAGGAGTTGATAATCTGCATTCCAAAAATCTAAATCTCCCAAATTTCAAAGTAGTGTCTAGATTCTAATATCTCATAGCTAAACCCTGAGCATTTCTTTTCAGCTGCAGAAGCACCTCCTAAAAAGTAGAAGCCCCATTCACCTAATATCACAGTTATTTTTTACAAAGCATATATGAAAAAAAAAATAATATCTTGTTAAATTCTCATGAGTAAGTATTTCTCAGAGATGACTCATAAGTCATGGTGCACTTCTAGTGTAGTGTTTAGTTAATTAGCATGTCAAATACTTATTTAAATCACAATACTGGAACTATATGATGCCACCAAAAGCATTATGTCTTTATAAAACAATGCTAGGAAAATATGGAGAGAGAAAAGCAAAGCAAATCTGAAATTTTATTGCCAACTTCCTCTTTATGGTTTACTGTTGCAGTCCAAGCAGTGCCATATTTCTGCAATCAGAGCCAAAGAGCTGCAAGATCCTGCTGAGACACTTCTAAGACCAATTTCAGCTCCATTCTCTCCAAAAAAGAAAACCCACAATTAAATCCATGGACAGTGCTAGTGAAAATGTATTTGTTTACTTAGAGCTCTGTAACAATAGCTTTCGACTAATCTAAAGTCAGTGTCACTGATCACCAGGTGAATAAGTAACAGTGATGCCAACACTTACACTATAGTCTACTGTTTGAAAAATAGTTTAAAGTAATGCTGTTTTGATAATTAAAAAGCCTTAGTGTAGTAATCCACCTCCTAATTCAAGTGCCATCATTACCAATCTGTGAATGCCTCTCTTTCTAACAGATACAAAACAAAATAAAAACTGTAACAATTAAAATTTTAAAATCATCAGCTCTACAGCTCACAAGCTATAATATTCTCAGGAATTACACAACAATGGTTCCGTCCAAAAACCTAACTTGGTCTTCAGGAACAATTAATAGGAACACACTGGTCATACTTTAAAATTTCATCCAAATAACTGTACTTATTTCTTGCATTATTTCTAGTTTTAAATTAGGGAAATGTTTAAAAGAACTGGGTATTTCTCACAGGTGAACTTTTTAAGCCCCTTCAGACTGTTACAATGTGCATACCACAGGTGCATATTTAGACTGCTCACAAGCAGACACACACAAGCATACACAACCACATCACCAGATTTTCTGTTCAGAAAGACAAATGCTGCCAGCAACACTGAGACGGTAGTAATAGAATTATTCTGAAAATTACAGCACTATCATGGGTCCAGTTTAGCTGTAGAACAATACAATTTCTTGCAAATTTCATGGAACCAAAAATATCCTACAAATAGGCATGTTCTGACTTGCCTGTTTTCACTCTCCCTCATACTCAATTCCACTGCTTCTGAGGTTCTCTCAAAGGCAAAAAGAACAAGCAAAAACCCAAAGTAAATCCTTTCTCTAGCTAAGAATTAACTGTCTGTGCAAGCTTGTAGCATTTTCATTTTTCTTTTCTAGAAAATCCTGTATCCTGGACTAAAATTCTAGCAGCTAGCCAGGACTACATCCCCCTTCAAACCATTCAAAGATTAGTTCCCAGGGAATATTACATTTGCACAGGACAAAGTTGTAAACTCTGAGTGGATAGTGCCACTTGACTTAGTTTCAGGAGAACCTCACAAGCAGGGACAGTCATTTTGATGCTAAGCAGAGACACTGCATGGAAAGTAATATAAAGGTCAGCTGCTTTAGATACTGAGCACTAATGCTGGCCATTCCCAAACACCATAGCACTTCTTCCTCCCTTACCAGCATTATTGGTATAACCATATTCATGCTTGTTCTCAAGAAAAACTGCAGGTCAAACCCATGCAGAAACATAATCTATGCTAAGTTTCTAAATTAATTTATTCTGTCTAAAAAAACATAAATTTCCTATCTCACCATACAATTTCCTTTTACATATAGTTTGACATATGCAAGAGAATCTGGGATTTCTTTCTGTTAACTTTTTGTCTACTAGCAATTCTTTTTACTAGTCACACACTCAAATAAAGAAAAGTAACCACTCTTGTTCTCTCTCCCAATGCTTTCCAAGTTGCTCCACCGTTATCTTTCAAAAAGTCATTCCACTTCCCCAAAAGTGTTGCAGAAGAACTTTCCATGTTAATGAACTTCATTGACTACAGCTTTTGGAGGTTCTTGGAAGCACGGAGACACAGTAAAGAGCAATCAGCATACATTCAAAATATTTCTGAAATATGTACATGAGAATATCAAGAATATCATGCAGAATTCCAGATCATGATATAGAAAGTCCCAAAACTGTCATTCAAAAGTTTTCTGCCAGCTAATTACCTGACATGCAGTTACTGCCATCAACCTAATACTAAAACAGCTGAATAACACTTCTACCAGAGTCATATATGAGCAAGGTACCTATATATATTCCCAGCTGAAACATTTGCTTCAATTAAATTTATCACAAACATGATGTAGCAATCACAAGCAGTTCCACATACAAATAGCCTTGAATCAGAAGTTACCAATTCTCCTCTGAATGCAGTATGAAAAGATCTTTGCCACCTGAACGCTTTTCCATTAGAATGTGCTAGGTCTTCAAGGTTGGATAACCACAGAAATAGCTTGCAATATGCAAGTATACATCTCCCTCTTCTCTGTGTGCAATAGGATGTCACACACGGTCATTTGTATGCCACTTTCTGGCTTGAACCCTATCAGGTAGGGAGATAGGACTCTGAGACAAGGCCTTGATCACCGACTTTGAAACCACTTTGCTCAAGAAGAAAAAGGTGCAGAGTGGATGGTAATTAACTAAGTCCACATATCTCACGGAGAGCTTCCTGCATACTGAATATATGGAGAAAAAAATCCCATTCTGAGAACTGGAGCAGCATTAGTTTTCTTTATGTAGCTGGAGTTGCCAGTGCTTTTAAAGGCATTTTAGAATCCTCATAGTTCCAAGGCTGCAGATTTGAAGACCATATTTCAGTGTTATTAAGTAAAAAAGCATCACAAAGAAAAAATAAAGTAGCAAGTCACAATTTTTTAAGAAGTTCTGATACCTGCAACTCAATTCCTGCAAGCACTGCTGTAGAACAGCATAAGGAATCACCTGGACTGTGGACTACTTCTGTTTTCCATAGATGTATAGAAGACTACTTCTCTCTTCCCTGATGGCATTCACATGGCTTAATTTTTATTTCAGGTTCTAGAAGATTCTTGCCTCGTAAGATACAGAAGTTCTCTAACAAGCCACACAGATTTCACTAAATCCACAGTTGTGGTGTGGAGAACTCAGAAGCCTATGCAGGAAGAATTCTGTACCACTTCAGTTGTCTGTTTAGAGGGAATGGGGAGCCATAGGAGACAATTTGTAACTTTAATGTATTCACTCAATCTAAACATCAAGTCTTCAGCACAATATAATGAGATGCTGGCCACACTTCTGTGTCTTCAGGCACTTGAGGACAATTTAGGAACAAGCACAGAGGCAAAATAAATTATAATCTATAGTTCTGGGGCTAAGCAAATCTGTAACTATTAGTGATCATTATGAGACCTGTGTGAAGACAAATTATACCAGAAGTACTTACTGGTATGTTGTTCAGTTGAGGTATTCAATACATGCTGCTTTCAAAGACTTAAGAACATATAGTACCTAAATCTGTACCAGCTCCTCTTGCCATAAGAAATGTACATACCATTATAGACATTCTGCCCAGTTCTAGATTGCCCATGGTATGAAATATTTTGGTTTTTCCCTAAACCATTTAAAACCTAGACCTAGATTCAATTACAAAACCTCTTGTTGGAATATGCTAGTTGGAAGGGGCCCATCAGGATGAATAAGTTGAACTCCTGGCCCAGCACAGGAAACATGCCCAAGAGTCACACCCTGTGTCTGAGGGCCCTGGCCAATTGCTCCAGGAGCTCTGCCAGGCTGGTGCTGTGCCCACTGCCCTGGGGAGCTGTTCCAGTGCCCAGCCACCCTCTGGTGAAGAACCTTTTCCTGATATCCAACCTAAACCTCACCTGACTCAGCTTCAGGGCATTTCCTCAGCTCCTGTCAGTGTCACCACAGAGCAGAGATCAGTGCCTGCCCCTCCTCTTCCCCTCACCAGAAGCTGTACCTGCAGTGAGCTCTGCCCTTGGTCTCTCTTGTCCAGGCTGAACAGACCAAGGGACCTCAGCTGCTCCTCATTCAGCTTCCTTCAAGCCCTTCACCATCCTCATGGCCCTCCTCTTTTTGCGCTGCATCTACATTCAACACCTTTTTCTCAAGAAATTTTAGTACGAGTTCCTCAAAAGTATATAGCATGTATGTTAAAGGTATGACCAGCTTACTGGACTAAGTAAAGAAATAGAGTTTTATTACAAAGAATCACAGATCTAGTTAATTATCAGACTTGTCTGTTTACAACTGAGGCAGTGAAGAGCTTCTAATTTTCAGCATACAGCCGTGTGTGTATATATACATATATAAATATAATACACACATATATTTGACAGACTATCTTTTGATAGTTTCTCAAATTTTGAAGCTGCTCATTTGAGTAGTTTTGACATATAATATAAAGACCGAAATGTAAAGGAAATTGAAAAGTCCATACTATATTGTTCCATACTGGTCAAGATCAGAGAGTGAAAAGCCATGAATTCTCACCCACAGAGAAATAAATCTATTTAGAAGTTTCCTGACTGATTCATAGTATCTAGTCAACACACTTAAAAGGAGAAATGAGGCTTCCCTTTACAAGCATAGGTGACAACAGTCATAAGTCCTCCTCCAAAAGTAACTTCCCTTCGGGCCCCATCCATCCTGATTTGTGCTCTTTCTGCTGTCCACTGTGTGTGAGAAAGAAACTAAGGTATGTTTCCCAAAGTAAATCAGACTTTTTAAAAAATAGCCATACTTTATGCATGAAATAAAGCATGTTAGATTCATAATGCAACACACTGCACAGTGCTGATGATTCTCCTTTAGGTATTTCCATTACATATACTGCATTTTAAAAGATTTTAAACAGATTATTCAGAACAGAAAAGTTGAACGATAACACATTTTTTTGATTGTAATATTTTAATTTGCTTCTTCCACTTCTAGCAGAAAAAATTGGTAGTGGCTGACTGTAACTGTAATAGGCAACCAGAAGAAAAAAAATACCAGGTGATTCTTCTTAGTCTTTGCCTGATTTAGAGATAAACTTTCACATTTGTACAGTATTCAGACATTATGTTAGGAGGGCCCAAATGTTATTTACACATGCAATGCCACACAGTAAGTGAACCACACAAAAGGAGCAGAAAGCTCTTATAAGAACTATCGAAACAGGATGCGGATCTAAATGTAGCCAGAATAAAAGGAGAGAAGAGTACAGTTACATTAAGAGATACTCAGTAAAGCTCTCATATGTTTTCTAAAGTTTACATGCTATTCCAATTTTCAAAGGGATCAGTTTGGCTTTTTGTTTATTTTCATCTCTCTCTCACTCTCTCTCTGTATATATTTATGTATACATGGCAATATTCCACCCACTGAAGTTTTATTTCTGATCAGTATTCTTTGCTCACTTGTGTCCTTTATATAGTGCTACTCTCACATATTGAACAATCTTTCCTGTAATGTATTTCATTATTCTATAAAATGTTTTTTTTTTCCTTAACATTTTTTTAAGAATTCTATAAAGAAATAATTAATTAAAAGAAGTGATTAAAGTTCAAATAAGACGCTTTTCAAACACGGCATTAACACGGAGGAGAGGAATCTGGAGGGTCTCTGTGCTTCTGTAGACTGATGTATCCTCCCTACAAGAGACCACTGCTCCCCAGGGCTCAGGATGCTAATGATGGACAGCAATTAATTTATCTTCTCTGGGCAGTTTGTATACAATAGGTGTTGTACAAGAGTTTCTGCAACTCCTCTATTAAATTATTTGTAGCTACAAAATGTATATATTATTTCTAAAACCTGGGTAGCTCAATACTCTCAAATCTCTAAATTCATAGTTTTTAGATTGAATTTAAAAAATTCCCAGGACATATCAAATCCTTCTTATCATGTTATTACTGACTTTGAGAGCTCACACACTTGACAATACTATTCTAGTCTGTCTGTGGGACCAGCAGAAACTCTTCAAAGACTGCTACTGACAGGACAATTTTTTTCCCTCTGATTTTGTTCACTGAGTTAGTATTCAATCCCTCTTCTCTCTTTTTGGGAAGTGTGAAACTCCTCCAGGAGTTTGCCCATAGGACAAATACACGTACATGCTTTTTTGGTCTTATGGCCAAAGTCACACTTCATGGTTTGCAAGTGGCATCACCAAAAATGTTCTTGTACATTCTTCGTGAGTTCAGATTTTATCATGGCAGCAAATGACAGAACAATAAGACCAGTTACAAAAATCCAACCCATAATACCCTGCATTAACCATAAATCTAGCCAAATACCTAGTACAGTAATGATTGTTACTGTTCTAGAGATGGTCTTGGAAAATTTCCACAGCTCCAAGAAGGAAAGTAACTCTTCTGATTTTTATTTATTTATAGAGTCAAAAATAAGTGCAGAAATCGTAGAATCTGCAGTTACTTTTATTCCCCTCAGTAGAAGGATCTGGCTTTAGTAGGAGGTAAATTGCTCTCAGCTTACATTGTCTGTAATAAAATCCTGCAGTTGAGCAGTCATGTCCTCACACTGCAATTACAAGGCCAGGGCTTTAGCAGGCTGTGCTCTAAGACACTGCAGGCCTCAGTTGGCCTTTTGGCCACAGTTTGATCACCCTTCACTTTTGCAAAATCATATATTACACATCTTCAAATCTCCAGATGGGTCAAAGTCTGAGAAAATTATGGAATAATCAAGACTATGCCCATAGACTTGGCAGATAATTAGTTTTTACAGACCATTATCTGTAAGCCTACAGACTAGGGGCTCTGATTGAGAGTATTTAGACAAATGTTGAAATATCTATTCTTAATAAACAGAAATAGGGACTAACTTTAGGCATATGAAGAAGTGAATGGTTACAACTGGACTTAGTCATACATCAAAAGACTTTACTGCATTAAGACCCTGATTTGGAAAGCATTTTATGTGAATTTATACAGAACTGGAATACCAAGAAGAGAGTGACATGCTTTTACAGCTGCAGTTGCACAGCAGTTAGCCAATTGTACCTATTACCAGTTTCATGAAAATAGAGATAATCATTAAAATTATTATGTGGGTTTAATTAATTTTATCTTGCTTTACTTTATTGGTTTAAGAGCTATTTAAAGTATTAAAACCTAATAGCGTTTCACTGCACACTCTATTCCACTAGAGGTCAGCCTGCAACAGAACCCCAAGCAAACACAGGAACTGCTGCACACGGGTAGCACTGACATTATTTTCTTTCTCTATTTTATCTATTAGAAAGATTTCTTCGGAGCCATAACTTAGATCTCTCACTAAAATGGAGCAACAGGAAGATATAATGGTGCATTTCATTTATGAATGACCTGTAATAAATTACTATGAAGTATTCCAGGTGCCAAACGAGAGAATGCTTTGTCGGCACATGAGCTATATTTCACATACCTTAATTTGGCTGACACATAAAACTCATTTGACATTTTGCAGGTATTTCTTTGAAAGGATATTTGGTTCTTGTTGAGCGTTAAGGTATGGAGGTGGGGTAACCTGGGTAACAGAAGGTCATTTCCAAGTAGATTGTTGTCCAAGATCAGTTCTTCCAAGTAACTGAATGTTTTCAGTCCTTCTAGTGACCTGCAAACGACAAAGGCAACAGGAAAAATGATACTCCACTAAATCAGGGAGGCCATTATGAGCTGAAATAAATATTTTAACCTTCCCTTTCAGGAGTGGGAATAGTTTTGGTTTGGGCCTGTCAGAAGAGTGAATGACAAGCATTAGTGGCAAGGGGAGTGCTGGCACTGCAACACATCCTTCACATGCTGGCAGGATGAAGGATGCGGGTCACTTAGTGAGTAGCCAGGATCCAAAACAAAAGGCTTCAGATATGGGGCCTGCAGGATGAATTTGTCAATGTCTTGTGCCTTCAGGCACCCAGCCTCGCCTGACCCTAACCTCCATTCCCAAGATAAATAACTCTGTCACAGTTCACCTTCATTCCCTGGACACAAATTTAAGTTGTCATCCATCATTTCTGCCAAGAAATATCATACCCTGCTAACAATAATAAATACTACTTCAAGTATCATTTCTTAGTAGTTACCTTGCATGCAATAATAGAAAATGTAGAGGGGATTCCCCCCCCCCCTTTTTTTATTAACCTCTTAATTATCTTCTTGAGTTCATGCAAACAAAATAAAATGTTCTCTACAAAATAAAATGCAGAATTGCTCTAGACAGAAAAGGCATTTGCTTTCTTCCTTCTTGGAACTTACTGTCCCACTGTCAAGCCACAGGTCACACTGCAGAGAGCAGCTTTAAAAAGGAGCATTTGACAGCATGGTAGCAAAGACAATTACTTGTAAATAAACAAGGATCTGGAACTATTCATTTCTCTCACAGCAAAGTACCAAAAAAAACCCCAAAAAGCTAAAAAAGAACATTTCAGTGTCTTGTTAAATCATCTATTCTAAGCCTGATTCTTAATATTTGCTCATTTTAACAGTAAAAAAGCCCCTACATATTAATCAACTAAGACACACAATATACAAAGCTTACACACAGGCTTGCATTCACAGCTCATTCACCTACCAGACACCTAAAGATATGCTGAGATTGCATGACTTGACAGCTGATCTACTATGCCTACCAGTGGGAAGATCATCACTGTATCTCCTGGCTCTTTTATGGAATGTGATGAATAAGGGAGATGCAGGTTATACTATTTATTCAGCTTCCAATGACATTTATACTGAGGGGATTTCCTCACCCTCGTTCCCAGGTTTTGGCAAAGATCAAAGTGCAGCCAAGGCCCTGTTAGAATGTTCCACAGATACAATTACTGGAGGAAAACACAAGTATTATTAGAAAAGACAATTTAACATTCATCTGTGCAACAAAAACAAGATACTGCTTTTGTAGCTAGAAGTTACAGACCACTTATAGATCACACTTAGACAGCTCAAGCAACCAAAAGAAATCAAGTGTGTGACCTTTACACTGAGTACTGCACACTGAACTATGAATATTCAAGCAATATTTTTGCAATACTGCAACACTGCATTTCAGCCCAAGGATTCTAAAGTCTCTTTTCTTGAAAGGGAGGTGCAACTATCACTAATGCTATTTTGATTCTCAGCAGCTGGACCTGAAGAAAATTTGCCACCTATGGACCATGGTATTTCTGTATCATTACAGTTTGATACTACAATTGATAATACAGTTTGTGAAGCTGAAAAAATAAAGGCCTCTATTATAAACATTTTATTGAAATATTCACCACAGTAACAATTACACATTTTGCATGTGCCTTTAACCAACAGATTGGGGAAAAAAATCTCAATTCAGCCTAAATAAACTGTTCACCAATAAAAGCTGTGTTAGTAGGTTGCATTAAGCTAGCTATTTCAGCAAAAGGCCACAGCAGACTTGGTTGTGCCAAAGCCAAGATTCGAGGAGAAAGCAGCAAATATCTTAGACAGTGCTTTCCACCGAGTACCTTTAAAAGGCAAGAAAACTCAGAGGAAGTAGCAGTGAGTTTATCAAGCTGTTATGAGTTTTCATTTCAGTTTGACAAACCTAGTTTAGCAAATTCCCCTTAAATACTCTTTATTATATAAATAGTGGATTATTTCCAAACATCACATTTCAATGTATGACTTTGACTTGCCAAAAGGGTTCAGAGAAGGCCACCTCCTTGTCAGCACCACAGAGCCTTATGGGATGTTAATAGGTCCTTTGTGAAAAAACACTGCTTGGGCTCTGGTCAGTGTCAGCATCAAAATACACATTGTTCTTGAGTTATGTTATGCAAATATAATACTCTTATCATGAGAATCAGCAAATGGTTGGCAACTGGCAAGGAGAAGAAAGCGTACATCCAAAACTGCTGCAGGGGAGGCATAAAACAAAATGACAAGCCATGAAGTGGGACAAAAGGCCTTGAAACACTAGAGGGAGTTGCCTATTGAAACAGCCTTTCTTTCACAACCCTGGGCTGAACACAAGGGTACTAGTTTCATAGATAGGCAGAGAAAATTGTGCGCAAATCTCCTTACACCTGTCTGGTTTTGATAATTTTTGCCATGTAATGTTATTAGCTGCTCAGTTAAAAAGGAGCCATGTTACACAGGGGGTTGCTTATAATTGCTGTTTTCATGTCATCAGAGCAGTGTGCACTTGGTGATTTAATCACCTAAATTCAGAGTCCAGGGAGATGGGAGGGGTTGCCACAGTACAGAGAGTGTAGCCATTAATATAAATTTACAGCCATATGTTGTTTTGGTATTAATGGAATTTTTTGTTTTAATCTTAAACAGAAGAAAAAAAGAGCACCAAAACAAAAATGGTAAGATGTAGCAAAGAAATAAAAAAGGAAAAAATATGTTTGTTATCATTCAGTGTTACTGCCTACTAAATTCTATGCAACAGTCTCTACCATCATAATATATTAGGAAATATTGCCCAGCAGTTGTACTCCAAAGTGTAAAAGTTTTAAGTACAATCCACACAATTGGTTTTATGGTACAAACTTCAGCAAGTCCCATAACTTCCATAAAGCTTCAATTTCCCATCTGCAGATGGGGGATAAGAAAGGATTGCAATTGTAAATTGGTACAGAGAAAGTCCTTTTGAGAATCTGAGACAGAAATCAGTACAAAATACCATCACTTTTATTTTTAATGTGGTTGACCAAGTAATATTAATTACTACAAGTATTTCCTTATGAGCCCATTACAAAAGAGGAGAGGAATGCTTACATATACACAGCATAGGAAGAAGGGCACAAGCAACCTAAGAGGCAAGTATAAAAGAGGGGAATAACCTAAGAAAGAGTATAAAACTAAGTCTAAAACTAAGTCTAAAATTAAATCTGTACTGTTTTCTCATAGTTCACAGCATAAAAAAAGTCTCCTCATGTTAGTGTACTAGAACAAATACAAAATCACACCACAGCAATGCAACCAGCACTGAAGGGCTGGTGGCAAGTAGTTGTTTCCCTTGCTTTCAAAAGGCTAATAAACATCACTGAGGTGGATTGCATGTTGCTTGTCCCTGCTCTAATGTCATGAAAGCTGCCCATTATCTCACCCACAGGTACCGTCTCAGTTACCTCATTGCAGGGCTCACACTCTGCTCCCAGAGGAGAGCAAGTGTTGCCAAGAGATTTCCACTGCAATTTTCAAAGTCACATCAAACCGACAAAACATCACAACGTATTCAGTGCCGCCTCATTCAAACAGAAAAAACTTAAAGTTTCCACTGTAATTAACCCTATCCTCGTTAAGATAATTATGATCAAGCTCCCTGTCACAGCTAATATCACAGCATCATTGCCTATGGCTCACGCTTTGCCCTCATTAGCTTACAAAAACACTGCGCTAAACAGGAAACCGACTCCCTCTGCAAAACGACTTAAGATGTTCTGTAAGTAGACAGTAAATAATCCTTTGGAATATAAAGGTCTCAGAAATGCCATTTTATCCAAGTCCTTTGGATAATCAGTATGATTTCTTCCAGCTTTCTTTTCCATAATTCATTCATGGTTTATAACAAAGTTTTAATCATAAAGGAATGTCATGACAGAGATTTTATTTTTTTTAATGTATGTGTATGCATGGTAATTGTCAACTGCACTATTTCATATGATCCCTCTGGCCTGACAAGGATTTGGTTACAATGAAAGTAAAGAGCAACTCTTCATTTTGGTAATATTTGACAATGAAAATATGAGATTTTATACATGAAAAAAAGCAGAAACCTTGCAAGTAATAGACAAAACTTGGTACTCTGCAGTTGTCCTTGTTCAGAAAAACAAGCTGCTCAGAAGCATATGCTACAAAAGAAGAGTTCCTCACATTTTATCCCATCCCTTCATTAATAAGACAGCTGCCTCATACCTAATTGACTTTTTCCTCCTGTTTAACAGGAAAAGAGAGAGCAGTTAACAATATGCAAATGAAAGAGTTTGGGTTTAGCCTTGAAATTGATTTGCACTTTGTTGACAAGAGATAGCCATTAGCAGAAGTTAAAGATGGAACTGTTACAAAACAAGAGCTTTTTAAAATACCTTTTCCCTGCCTTTAATGCTTTAATAGATTACAGGAGAGCAGAATCAACATGAGAACCCTAGTACTAGATAATTTCAGTATTTAAATAGAAATGCAATTTCTATTTCTCCAGCACCTGCCAGCCAAGGACTACAAAGCATTTTTTTGCAAAACATTAACGAATTACTTTTCAAAAACCTGCTGAGCTTAAAATTCCATTTTGTAGTAAAGCAGAGAGAGGTTAAGTGACTAACAGAAGGTGACCTCCAGCAATTTTCCAAGACAAGAAATAACACCCAGAACTCCTGACTTCTAGTCCTTTGACTTAACCTCACTAAAGCAAAACAAAGCACAATAAAAAACGGGGATATATATATATATATATATAATAGAAATAAACCAGGTGGATAAAATACAAGTAAAGCATAAAAAATGGCTTCTACAGTATTCAAGAATAAAAGATTTTTTTTTTTTTTTTGCCAATCTACTTAGTGATTTTACAGTTTCTTGCATGATAATAGAACCAAAAAGAAAACAGCTCTGACATGACTTCTGGACCAAGACAGAACACACACATAAAAGCAC